ACACAGTGTACATTCCAACCAACACAAAGTTGCACATACAGTGGTCTACATACAAAACAACAGAAGTATTTACTGTATACAGTTAGAGTAAAAAAAACAAAAAACACTATGCTGCATCCTCTCTTCTGTTTCGGTCTGGCCATAGCACCTCATCCACATCACAAGCAATGTTTTCCCTGACCAAGCAGTGGGGGAAATATCGCCTAGCATGGCGAATCCAGCCATGAAAAGCATCAACTCCTATATCTCCACGTGTCTTCCATAGCTTGGAGAAGGGGTATACGCGTTTGTGGATTTCAGTCATACACTTTCCATCTCCAGGCAGAAAAATTGGCTCGGATCTCATCAGAGGCCCTGATATCAGGCCCCAGGAAGTGCGCTAGACTTTGAAGCCAATTTGAAATAATGGTTGAACCGTGTAACTACAACTTCCATCACATGATGAAATTGGGCCCAAAAGTAGTTTTCCCCATAGACTTACATTGTGAAAGAGACATCTGTAAGTCAGTGAATTCATGTTTGAGCATCACAACCTCTGTGAAATGACTCATTTAACTATCACAACTCAATCCATTCAGTCTGATAACATTTCAAAAGTCTAGAAGAGCCATACAATTATATCATTTTATCCCATTCAAGTTAGTGGAGGGTTAAACTGGAAGTTAGACACTTGGCCGGCAAAGTCTCTAGTGCACCTGCTCTATAGGCCTAATAATGCAAAGGATCTGGATAATTTCACACCTGGGAAGTCAAACTTTCTCTCTCTCTCTCTCTCTCTCTCTCTCTCTCTCTCTCTCTCTCTCTCTCTCTCTCTCTCTCTCTCGTGTCCTATTACTGCATCTTGCTAACCATTCTGGATGCATTCTGGATGTCACTAACTCGGCTTCTTCTCCGGAGCCTTTGTGCTCCACAGTCTCTCAGGTTAACTCGAATTGCAGCTGTGCCTGGATAGTGTGATGTGTGTGGTTGTGCTGCTGCTGTGGTCCTGCCAGAATCAATCCTCCTTTTCTCATAAATCTAAACACATTTTGTCTTGCTAAAACACAAGTTGCAAAAAAGTTTGCTCAAATTATCAAATTAAAGCTCATGTGATGCAAAATGCTTGCCACAGTCAGCAAAATTTGAACACAATGAACACACCTGGCTTCATTCATTAAACATAACGACTCAAAATTGAAGACACTTGTTGCAAATGATGTGACCACACTTATAAAAGCCAGTTCAGAGTGCACAGTTTGCCTGGCAAGGGACAATATTGCCTGCGATGTAGATGTGGTCCTGTGGCCCGACCCAGCTCGACGACGTGATGCCGCACAATGATTGTGGAGTGTGTGTGTGTTGTATAGTTCCATAAATAAATAAAAAACATCACACCCTGAACATTGTTTTCAATGAGTATTGTTGTGTATAATGGATCCTCTGTAGTGTTTGCATTGAGTTGTGATGCAGTACAGTAGTGTACATACTGTATTTTCTGTAGATTTACATACTGTTCATATGAAACACACAAATCTATGAATGCCCAATACTCTACAGTGATATATTCTGAGAACAGATACTGTAAGCTTTCTAAAAATGTGCTTTGGCAGTTGTGAAAAAAAAGAACATTCTCACACACTGTACATTGTGTTTTCAGTTGTTTTGTTGTAGTCTGTAATGATGCGTATAGTGTTTAAATTTTTGCAGGCTTTGAGCAGCTGTTTTGGTGTGAAAGTTTGAGTTTTGAAGAGAGAAGGTGTGGTTTTGTTTATGTAGCTTTAGAAAAGTGTGTTGTGTTTAGAGTTTTGGGAAAATGGAGGAAAGTTTTGTGAAATGTGTTTTAGCAATTGAGAAAAACTGTATACACATATGATTATTGTCACACATGTATACTATCAGATATTAATATATTATTATTAATTATAATATTATTACTTTCATTAATGTTGTTGTAAGCTACTGTCATTACTGTCTGTCCTGCATCTCTCTCTGTCTGTCTGTCTTTCTGTCTGTCTGTCTCTCTCTCTCTCTTTCTCTCTCTCTTTCTGTCTCATTGTGTCATATGGATTACTGTTAATTTATTATGTTGATCTGTTCTGTACGACATCTATTGCACGTCTGTCCATCCTGGAAGATGGATCCCTCCTCAGTTGCTCTTCCTGAGGTTTCTACTGTTTTTTCTCCGTTAAAGGGTTTTTTTTGGGGAGTTTTTCCTTATCCGCTGCGAGGGTCATAAGGACAGAGGGATGTCTTATGCTGTAAAGCCCTGTGAGGCAAATTGTGATTTGTGATATTGGGCTTTATAAATAAAATTGATTGATTAATTGATTGATTGATCACACGCAGAGGTGCGTGACAAGGCGCCTGCCTTTGACAACCTGGGAGTGAGAATGGGCAGGGTGAGTCTAAGTTTGATATTTACTCTGTTTTTGGTCTCTATCAACTGTAACAACTACCAATATTTGGCTCCTCAGCTGCTAAATGCTCCAGCTGGTTGCTAACTGGGTCACTCTTCTGCTTGGTGCCTGCCAGGTGTAGAGTGGGTTTTCAGAGCTATTTCTCGAGAAACAGCCACCTGCTGTGGCCGAAAACAATGCAATGAGAGCGCTGAGGGTGAAACAAAACAGTAAAGGCCACACAGCTTAACAGCGAACTGAAATTCTCTATAAAGCCAATAAAAGCTGCAGATTCTGGTGATAAGCTCTGAAGGATCATCACTGTGAGTGACCCCTTTCACATATTCACATTTCCTTTTATACATTGTTATGAAAATATTAATCATAGCCACTTAGTAAACGTGGTATTATCTGCAAAACATAGTTTAAATACCAAAAGTACAAAAATACATTAGCTGCAGTGGTGTCAGGGTAGTTGATGAGGTGGGTGTACTACAAAGTAGATGGGTAGGTTATCGAAAAGGAAGTGGGTACACGCTTCAATATAACCAATGTTTTTTGGCTGATAGGTGGATAAACTGTAAACCGCCAGAAAGAGATGTTGGTTTACCCCATATACCTGTGTATACCCTCCATTACATCACTGATTAGATGAAATTTGTTTTGTGTGTAAAATATGAATCTGCAAATGAGCTAATAACTGTCTAGCTGTGTACACTAGGTGTACTTTACTGTCCCAGTGTACAATAATGGGTCAATTTATTGACTGAAGTATGTCTGACTCCGCTACCATAGGTGGCCCCCTTTTAGCTTGTTGGTATCAGACCTTTTTCTGGTTCACCTATTAAGTCATAGACCAAACAACTGAGTGGTGTCTAACTGTCCCACCACTTTTTTGATCAGGTTGCCATTCTGTGTTTTCCTGCCATCCATGTACTTTAAAGTATTTAACTTTTTCAGGTGACACAGCATGAACTGTGTCCACGTCTGTCCAAAAATGCACTACAGACAGTGGATTGTAGATTTTGCCATATTTTTACTGGCTTCTTCTTCTGTTACACTTTTATTGCTATTAAACTTCTGAGTCAAAGCCTGGGGCAAAAACTGTGGAGCACGTGCAGAGCGCCTAGGCCAGTTTGGGTCTGACTGACTATATGCATGAAGTAGTAATTTGACTCTCAATCACGTTATCTGGGTGGGTTAGTCTAATTTTGAGAAATTCAATTTGGTACGATTCCAGCGGGACTAACATATTTACATGTATTTTAAAAGTCCAGTTTTAGCCTGATTAACACAATGAATTGATTTTCTCTAATGTCATGTACATGTACTGACTGTAGTGAAGTATATATTGAAAGTAGCATTAAAGAAAAGCATCACATTTTTCCTGATCTGCCTTAAACAATACTCATATGCCTATATGTACACTGAAAAAGCTAAGTTCAAATACCCAAAGTACGCTGTGATAATAATATGAAGAAGGCAATGATCTTGATTTGCATAACACATTCCTCAAATGTCAGCAGGCCTATAAAACGGTTGACAGTGTCGCTGAGTTTTTGACTGATTTAACAAGGGTTCACTGTCCTGAGGCAAACTGTTCTGGAGAGCTGTTCCCTTCAGAACAGACAAATGTCTCACTACTTGTATTTCCCCACAAGGCCTGACAGAGTTTATTCACTTAGTTATTTCTTTAAATTAGATGAATAAAAACTAAACACTTGCTCATCACTCAGAATGTATATGTTTATAACATACATGTGCATGTTCTCCAAATATTCTCAAACATTTCTGGAGGATTTTAGGATTCTTGTAAGATTGATCTGATCAGTGAAACACAAACTATCCACCTCCCTTCTTGTCCCTCTCCCTCCTTTTTCACTTCTCACATAAGGATCCCATAAAGTTTCCAGCTCTGACGCATGCGCACTGGCAGCCCCGAGTAGCGTGTGTAGTAGTATTATTATTGTGAATGGGGGGGTGGAGGATGAGGAGGGGGTGGAGGTGGGGGGCGGTATTTTGGGTGTACAGTCACAAGAGCGACTCGACGGAGCCAGGAAGTAGACTGTTGCTGCTTTCAAGTACTTGTCGGGATTGCAGTAATTTTGAAAACTTGGCAGCTGTGCTGGAACGAGCCGCCAAAGTGTTACAAAGAACGAGAAACTAGATTAAAGAGGTTTGTTGCAACAAATGCTGGGAACTGTGACACACCTGTGCTGTTATATTACATGATGATACATGTTTTTAATTATTGTTTGTACATTTTTTTCCAATGTCTATTTATATAAGATTAACGCAGGTTTGAAGAATACAGCAAGTATCATTATGGGTTTTTTTATGATGCTGTAACAGCTACAACTTTTGACTGGTAGGTGGATTAAAAAATGTACATTAGGCTACACGCCAGGCAGATATTTCCTCATCTGGTATCAGAGCAGAACACAGCTCTGTGCCATAACTTAAGCCGTCGCATTATAGGCTTTACTTACATGTGTTTCATGCATTATTTGTGTCCCAAATGTCCTGAATGCGCGAACCATCGGCAGGCCCACTGGGGAGGAGCACTTGAAAGTTGCAGGTAGAGCTGAGACACAGACAGAGAGCGCTCGTTTGTTGCCACTTGCTTGAGACCAGACGCTCGTCAAGAGGGAGAGAGAGGGAGGGAGGGAGAGAGGGAGAGACACACGGTCAAATTGAGCTTTATCTATCGCGGTGGGTCACCCAGTAAGAGCCATTTGGAGCCAGAGGCGACCCGTAGCGCGCAGGAGCCGCAGTCAAGAGGCAGATCATCAGCAGTCTGAATCACAGAGGCCAGCAGTCAGAGAGCACATTGCTCCACACACACACACACATACACACACACACACACACACACACAGAAAAACACACAGACACGGAAGAGAAGTGAGAGAAAGAGAGGCAGAGTGAGGGACGGACGGTGAGACGAGCAGTTGAAGTTTGACGGTGCGGGATAATAAAAGGCGGAGGAGAGGCTCACACAGTCAAAGTCCAGAGGCCGGAAAGTGTTGGAGAAGATGCCGCGGGTAGTCCCGGACCAGAGGAGCAAGTTTGAGAATGAGGAGTTTTTCCGCAAGTTGAGCAGGGAGTGTGAGGTGAGTCTGCTGCGTGTCTACACACACACATACACACACTGGGTCCATTCTGTTAGACGGCGGAAATAAAGACAGAGAAGAAGAGGCTCGTTAGGGGAGAAAGGCATGCTGGCGGGACGAATTATTTTAAGCCTCATGCTTAAATTAATTTAATTACTTAAGTGTTACACAACCTACAGCTGAATACAATCCAAAACAGCAAAAGAATGATAGGCTACAATAGTGCAATAAGTTGTTTCACTTCTACCTCTGACCTTCTGAAATTGAAATTTTAGACTTTTAATTCTTGAATTATGTTTAACTCTTTACTTTTTTGCTTATTTAATACTAAAAACAATTGAAAAGAATTGTATAAAAAAAGTATTACTCTTTCCCTGTTTTTTAGTATATTTGATTGATAGCGGAGACAAAGACTGATGCCTTTTGCCTTAAATCAAAATTCCTGTGGCTTATCTTCAAATTACAGCTTCGCCTGCTGCTGGCAATGAGCATCGCCATTCACTGTCAAAAAGCCCCATATGGAGTGTTTCCTAGTCCAAATCAAACACATGCAGCATATACTCAAAGTATATTACTACACATGTGAGTATATGTATGTGGTGTTTAAGGTTTGTGTTTCCTTTTCATTGCAGATTAAATACACTGGGTTCAGGGACCGACCCCATGAGGAGAGACAAGCTCGCTTCCAGAACGCCTGCAGGGACGGACGGTCAGAAATAGTGAGTGTACAAAACTAAATATATTCTTTTATTCTTTGGCATCTCCTTGAAAAACAAGATCTATCTATCTATCTATCTATGAAAGAAACTTACAAACCCTCAGTAGTGAGCATTAATCTCAAGACAGCCTCCATTTAAACAGACAAATGAACTCTCATTATGAGAACACTTTGTGCAGCAGCAGTGTAGATACACCACACACATATTGCATGTGTGTGCCGATGTTTTGATGCGTCCCTGCACAAGGAAGTAGACGTGTTATCAGACATGCAGACCCACCAGGCTTAACTTCACTTACCGGCTCATGACTTCTTGCCTCTAAATTCTGCAGCTGCATCATCGTCTCAGCTTTGTTTTTGTAGACGCACACATTAACGCGGGTTATCACTCAGGTGCATTATGGTTACAACACACCAAGGGCTGTAATTTAGGGCCTAAAATTGCTCACCTTAAGTAAATATTACCTGTCATGTCTAATTTTGGTATAAAAGGTAAACATGTAGTGAATGACGTACAGCAAGTGAACAGAAAGATCAAAAGACCGTGTGATGTCCAATAATGGAATGCAGTCCTGCTGAATATGACTGTGCTTAAAATGATTCATTTTTGTTCAGAGCTAAAACTTTTGATCAGTTAGCAACAATTTGGATAATTGATTCATGCATTTTTCTCTGTAAAAAACAAGACAGCTTTGTCCGTCAGCTTTGTCATTGTGAGGATTTGCTGCTTTTCTTTGTCTAATGTGACAGAAACTGAATATCTTTGGGGTTTTCATCTAACAAAGCAAACATCCTGAAGATGTCACAGCAGGTTTTTGGCAGAGGTGTGGACTCAAGACACATCAAAAAAGACTTGAAACTTGACTTGGACTTACACACCAATGACTCGTGACTTCACTTGGACTTGAGCATATTGATTTGAAAAATACTTGGTACCTTCCCCCAGTCCAACAATTAAAAAGTGTGTTATTTAAAAAGTGTGCCTTGAATCAATTCATTTCCTGAATTAACCTATGCTAATGTCAATCTTTTTATTTCTTTTAGACATAAAACATAAAGAGAAGGAACGGTCATACAGAAAATGCCTGACAAATTTGGAAGGATAAAGGCAATTTTCAAATATGAGATATGATAAATACACAACAGCTCAGAAACATACAAGATTCATTCTAGTGTGGTACTGGTTATATGCTTTGAAAGTGCAATATCAGCACTACTTTTAATTCAGCTGCACATGTTTTAATAAACTTGTTTTAACAAATAAATACTAAATTTTAAATTTTGATACAGTATTACCATGTTGTTATGGTAGTATGAAATTTGGAGAGTGCGTTATGACTTGTTTAGGACTGGAAAACTCAAAGTTTTGGACTTGGGACTTGAGTGCAAAGACCTGAGACTTGTGACTTTCACAACAATGACTTGATCCCACCTTTAGTTTTAGGAAATTGTGACACATTTTTATTTATTTTCTTCTATTAGATCAAACAGTGACTCCAGAAAATAATCTGCAGATGAATCAGTCATTAAAATAATTATCAGCCTTGTTATTGTTTGAGTTCTTGTGCTGGTTCAGGTCTGTGGTCTGTCATTAGCTTTGGTGTTGTCTTGAAGTGGATTATACATCTGCAGTGTTTCTCCTCATTTTCATCTATGGAGGAGCAGCTGGTGGATAGTTGTTGCAGTAAGAGATAGTTTGTGTCACAGTGTCTCCCTCCATCTACAAACCGCACTTCTCTCTAGCCACGTCTTCAAATTCATCTGATCAGATGTCCAATTGTTTCGTTGCAAAACCAAGTAGAGCTCTTTTGTCTAATGAAATGTCCACAGTGTCACAACACCACAGTGTAAAATATTGTCTGTTATACGTAAGAATCCTGCATTCAAAATGTACTTAAAAGATAAAAGTAGAGTGTGCACTGTGCAGGGAATATGGTCTCCGTCGTGATTCTGTTTTTATTTATCATTACTACTGGATTATTAATACTCGTACACATGTTAACAGCATTTTAATATTATAGCTGGTTTATGCTTATTATAGGTTGTTAATAGGTTCTTAATCTGCACAGTAGCACAGCCAGGAGATAAACGTCCTCTACGAACACGTTCTCATGTCTTCCCTACTCTGCTGTGGTGAACTAAGTTTCCTCCACAAGTGCCACTGAACCCATGTGACCTTTTTTTTGTTTTCTTTCAAAAATGACTGTGTGTAGTGTTTGTGATGAGCAATTTATAACTTCAAAGGAAGTCACATTCATCTTCTCATTATGTAATTACTGTGTGCTTACAGTGTGAAGTCTGTTTAAAACTTACTATTTAATCGTGCCCTCAGCAAAAGGTGAAGTGAGGTGGAAATCCTTTAGGCTGCTCACACACACAAACACACACGCACGGGGCAACTTCTGCTGTCTTAGTCACCCTGGAGGTATTTTTCACAAACATGCTGCCATCATCGCAGGAGAGAGAGGGGGCAGGGGGTGCATCTAGTTTTACCGTCTTTTAGTGGGACATGATGCGTCCGTCTGTCTGTCTGTCCTCACTGTATTTATAAGCCTCTTCTGCAAGAATTGATGGCCACGGTTTTAATGGTTTGATGGCAGCTGTGACATCATGTCGCTGATTTATCTATCGGCCAGACGCCGCTAAAGACCTCCTGCTATTTTCATGGTCAGTGTGAACGAGTAGCCGACACAATGAGACTCGAACGTGCTGTGAAGGACCGCTTTTTATAGATGAGACAGAGCAGAAAACAAACAAACTGTCAACGGTGGGCGATTTATTAGGATGATACTGGATTTATGTAATGTTTAAAGTCCCCACCCAGTCAAAATAGTGTTTTGTTTATTGTTACTTCACTGTGTGGTCTTCACTGTGCAGAATGATGTCTGTGCAGTGTTTAGCATTAGAAGGCTGTTTCAACATTAATGTGCCGGAGGGGAAAGATTCTTTGTGCCCAACTTAAATCTGAGTTTAAGACGTGCACGTTGTGACATCACAACTAGTTTGGCAGCAATCGTGGCTCAAAATGAGACAAATGTAATGTGGAAACTTGAAACTTCCACTGAAGATACACAGAGAATTTTTCTCTTAAATGTAATGTAATTTCTTTTTTTTTTTTTTTGTGGAAAAAGATGCAAAATATAATTGCAGACATTCCTTTTTGGCATTTTTAGAAAACATGTCTGTAAGGGATCTTTAAAATTCCTCATCTACTTAAACAGTGTTGTAAAAATTTTGCTCAGTCAAAAATGTAACCTCCACATAAGGAAAGTTTTTTGTTTCACTTACTGGTAATTTCAAAAAAGTGGTATTTATTTTACATTTCAGTTTACAACAAATTATTGTTTACAGGAAAAAAACATGGTTAAATAAATAAAAGACATTATAAAGTGGGCAAAAATAAAAGACAAACACTTAATACTCATGTACAGTATTAAGTTAATGTATTCCAACTGTTTGATATTTTACTTTTTTATGTATTTCCACTTTGCTTGTATTCTTTATTGGGTGTAGTTAATTTAATAACAAAAATAAAATATGCCTTTCATGTATTTGCACGTTAACAGATAATGATAGAATATATTTGATCAATAAGAAAAACAACATGTAACTCATCTTAAGATGCAGTAAATACAAACCTTTTATGTTATTTGTTGTTATTTATTAAAATTACAGGCTTATTTTACACATTATTTTTACCATATACATGTCATGTAAAAGTGTGAGTTCCATCACACACACACACACACACACACAAGGAATCACAGGGCGACACTAAACTGTTCAGGATTGATCTGATAAATGGGACAATAATTCAAAGTAAATTATCTTCAGCTCAGCTCATTAGAGATGAGTCGCTTTCTCAACTACTATTGATTTTCATGCTGCCCTCTCCTCTCCCGTCTCTCTGTCTCTCTCTTTCTGCTGTTTACTTTCTTTTATTTCATTTGCCCTGCTCTTCTTTGTCTTTATTCATTTCCTCTCTCTTTCTCTCTGTCTGACTTTACATTCATCACGCTGCCTTTACCACTGTCGTCCTGTTTCCCTTAATTTCTCTCCCCCTTTCTCATTTCCTCCACTTCTTTCTGCCTCCCCCTCTTTTTCTCTTTCATCCTTTGTCTCTCAGTTTCCCTCCATCTCTCTCCTCTCTTTGCCTCTCCTTCCCTCTTTTTTTTCCTCCCGCAGTAGTAGGCAGCAAATGAGTATCAGATGGTTGTAATCCAACACTTCAAATACAGCAGAAATGATGACTCGGGTGTTCTTTGAGCTCTCGTTTCTGAGTGTGCGTGTGTGTATGTGTGTGTATGACTTTTTTCTCTGTGTGTGTCCATGTACGCACTTAGTCATTTTCAGCTTTCTCCTCCCTTTATTTCCCTCTCTTCCACTCTCTGTTGTTCTCTCCTTCTCTTTCATTCACTTTTTCTCCCTTGCTCTCTGATGAAGGACGCATTTGACAGGGTGCATAATTCATATGCTTCCAGCTCAGTCGCAGCCCTAATGCCATTAGTATTGATCTGTCTCAGCAAACATAACACACACACACACACACACACACGAAGAAAACAGATAGACACACACAGATGCGCATACAAAACAGACATTTTCTAACTTGATTTTCTGCCTCGCCTGCTGTAATTCATCGCTTTCTGACTGCAACAGAGAAATGCATTCTATTGATTTTCATTTTATTTCTGTTATGCGTGTGTGCATAAGTGTGAGTGTGTGTGTGTGTTTATCTTGATAGGAATGCCTCCCGTTAGAGCAAGAAACCATTTTACAGAAATGAAAAAATGAGGAAAGCTCCAGTATGATGTGATTATGTGTGTGTGTGGGGAGCAGTGGTTCACTTTGTGCTTTTGTTCTGAAAGGAGAGCAAAGAGAGACTAAGGGCAGACGAGTTTAAATAAAGGAGAAAAAGAACAATTGTGATACAGTCTGTCAAACTTAAACTCTTCCAGACTTAAACCCAAATAAGATATTTAAACTTGATTGAACATTGTGCTGTTCAAACTTCTGCAAGAACCCTCTGGAAACATTCCTATGAAATCACTATAACTGCCTGTACTTCAAAATTGAATTTCAAAACTTAATCTTGCACTGAAATGTGTTAGAATCTACAGTACTGGAACTTCTGTTTTTGATATTAAAGGGGCACTCCCAATGTTTACTTTTATCAATTTGGGGGCGTTGTGGAAAAAAACAGAATAATAAAAGAACCACTGCGGCTATTTTTATAATACTTGTATTTTAAGAAAAAAAAGGCAAAATTAACATATTCAAGCCTCATATTTTAGAAATATGGGGATTCATGGCTTTTCTTTGTTTTATGTTATTGTAAACTGAAAGGTTTTACGTTTTGAAGAATGCTTGAATTTCAATAATGCAACTCGAAAACATCCTTGTTTCGATCGTCCTTGCTCACTAAGTACCCGTTTCCAAACTCTGCGCCTCCAGTTTTGTCTCCAGTCTCCACTTTCTGTCAGAAATGTGAAGTCCCCAATAAATATGTACTCCCTTGGCCTAAGTTAAAGAATAAATGGGTGATGTCTCTTTAGGGATTTTCTCAAACTTGTCAAAGCTCCTCCAGAACCACAAAGAACATAAAACAGCTGTTTCTGCATGCTCTTTAATATTCCTCATGATGGTAAACTGAGTTGACATGTAAAAACAGTGGAAAGTTGTTTTACTATTCATAAAATGTAATGTGAGATGAACATTCGTTGTGCTGATCCAAATAAATCACACCCTACTCCGCAGCTTTATGCAGCACTTTTAGCCTCTTTTAGCTCAATGTTTCCGTTCTCCAACTGTATATAGACTGTACTCTCACAGCTCTTCTCAACAACCGTATTACTGTACCATATGAGACTGAGCAGCTCAGACAAGCAACTGCACACTACCTGACAGAATGAAACAACAGGACCAGAAATAAACAAGAAGATATTTTTCTTAGGAGTTGGTGGAGCCCAAACCAGACCTAAAATTCTGGCGAAATTTGTGTAATACTGACTGACATCATGCTCTCTTTCTCTCTCTGTTTCTCCAGGCTTTTGTAGCTACAGGCACCAACCTATCTCTCCAGTTCTTTCCAGCCAATCAGCACGGTGATCAGAGGCAAGTTCCTACAAGGGAGTATGTCGACTTCGAAAGAGAGACAGGAAAGGTAGGACAAGTGCAAGATATCCACCCTCTCCCTCAATCACACATACATACACTGGCCTGTCACAACAGTTAACATTACTGACTTTTCTATCTGGACATGACCTTGATCATTTTGCTGACCTTGATATTCCCTGCTGTGTTTACATGTGTTTGTTTACATAAAAATGTCACCAACATTTAAGCCAACATGATGCCAGAATAAACAGCAGGGTTTTTGCTGTCAATTATAAGTCTTGTGCAAGGCGATTCTCCCTTTTTTTCTCTCCACTCCCGCCTACCTGTGCAAGTGCAAAGAGAAATAAAGAACACTTCAAAGACGACACAGCGTAGCTTACTGGTAGCCTGCAGCTGCACTTTTGGAGTGGAAGAGGCACAGTCCTAATAGTCGTTAGCTTGCTTACCCCTGGCAACAAGCCAAAAAGTCAGTTGTTTGTAGTTTTAGCCTCCACAGCTTCATCGTCCACTCTGTAAATCCATCAGCAAATGGCCCGACTACCCGGCCGTCCATCCCCAGGAGCCAACTGCAGCACATGGAGGTAACTGCAGTGCTCCCAGACCATTGCTAGGCGTGTATATTAGTCACAAGAGGCATTACTTAGTTTTGATTCTATTGGCCAAATCTTTTATTAAGCCTCAAGCTGAATAATTTTGGACTCTCCCTATAGAGATAGTATAATTTTATATATACTTTATAGTATATACAGTACAGGCCAAAAGTTTGGACACACCTTCTCATTCAATGCGTTTTCTTTATTTTCATGACTATTTACATTGTAGATTCTCACTGAAGGCATCAAAACTATGAATGAACACATGTGGAGTTATGTACTTAACAAAAAAAGGTGAAATAACTGAAAACATGTTTTATATTCTAGTTTCTTCAAAATAGCCACCCTTTGCTCTGATTACTGCTTTGCACACTCTTGGCATTCTCTCCATGAGCTTCAAGAGGTAGTCACCTGAAATGGTTTTCCAACAGTCTTGAAGGAGTTCCCAGAGGTGTTTAGCACTTGTTGGCCCCTTTGCCTTCACTCTGCGGTCCAGCTCACCCCAAACCATCTCGATTGGGTTCAGGTCCGGTGACTGTGGAGGCCAGGTCATCTGCCGCAGCACTCCGTCACTCTCCTTCTTGGTCAAATAGCCCTTACACAGCCTGGAGGTGTGTTTGGGGTCATTGTCCTGTTGAAAAATAAATGATCGTCCAACTAAACGCAAACCGGATGGGATGGCATGTCGCTGCAGGATGCTGTGGTAGCCATGCTGGTTCAGTGTGCCTTCAATTTTGAATAAATCCCCAACAGTGTCACCAGCAAAACACCCCCACACCATCACACCTCCTCCTCCATGCTTCACAGTGGGAACCAGGCATGTGGAATCCATCCGTTCACCTTTTCTGCGTCTCACAAAGACACGGCGGTTGGAACCAAAGATCTCAAATTTGGACTCATCAGACCAAAGCACAGATTTCCACTGGTCTAATGTCCATTCCTTGTGTTTCTTGGCCCAAACAAATCTCTTCTGCTTGTTGCCTCTCCTTAGCAGTGGTTTCCTAGCAGCTATTTGACCATGAAGGCCTGATTGGCGCAGTCTCCTCTTAACAGTTGTTCTAGAGATGGGTCTGCTGCTAGAACTCTGTGTGGCATTCATCTGGTCTCTGATCTGAGCTGCTGTTAACTTGCGATTTCTGAGGCTGGTGACTTGGATGAACTTATCCTCAGAAGCAGAGGTGACTCTTGGTCTTCCTTTCCTGGGTCGGTCCTCATGTGTGCCAGTTTCGTTGTAGCGCTTGATGGTTTTTGCGACTCCACTTGGGGACACATTTAAAGTTTTTGCAATTTTTCCGGACTGACTGACCTTCATTTCTTAAAGTAATGATGGCCACTCGTTTTTCTTTAGTTAGCTGATTGGTTCTTGCCATAATATGAATTTTAACAGTTGTCCAATAGGGCTGTCGGCTGTGTATTAACCTGACTTCTGCACAACACAACTGATGGTCCCAACCCCATTGATAAAGCAAGAAATTCCACTAATTAACCCTGATAAGGCACACCTGTGAAGTGGAAACCATTTCAGGTGACTACCTCTTGAAGCTCATGGAGAGAATGCCAAGAGTGTGCAAAGCAGTAATCAGAGCAAAGGGTGGCTATTTTGAAGAAACTAGAATATAAAACATGTTTTCAGTTATTTCACCTTTTTTTGTTAAGTACATAACTCCACATGTGTTCATTCATAGTTTTGATGCCTTCAGTGAGAATCTACAATGTAAATAGTCATGAAAATAAAGAAAACGCATTGAATGAGAAGGTGTGTCCAAACTTTTGGCCTGTACTGTATAAACAGGTGTTAATTTTTTCAATTACTTTTCCATATTCAAATGTCTTCAAGGTCGGTGACATAAAATGGTCTTAATTACAATAATATTGTTATTCAAAATTATTTCTGGAATAATATATGTCGTCAAACAAATGTAGATACCTTGACAGGCCTACACACACAAGCATGTGCGCACACATACACACACACACACACACACATACTTCTCTCTCTCGCTTTGCACCTATTGCAAAGGTCATATGGTCTTACAAATGGTGAGACTCTCTGTTATCTGATTAAATGTGTCCAAAATGCATCTTAAACAACTCTGGACACAATCTCTGATTTTGGATTTGCTTTAATCATGTGCCCTTGACTAATCCGACATTGTTGACACACATGACAATGTGAAACTTAAACAGAAAAAAAATGGAGAAACACATACATCTACGTCTGTTCAGTCCGACTTTCTCTTCCTCTTTTATTTCATGAAACGAAAATGACAGTCCAGACACCCACACAAAGCCCAAAAAATTCATGTGAATTTATGAATGCCTGTGCTGAGTCCCATCCTCCTGAATATGTTGGATAGTTAGGTTGTGTACATTTACATCTAACATGTACAAGCCAGCAGCCCTTGACAGATTACAGATTGATTTGTGTGTCAGGTTGTGCACAGGTCAGCAAAGACAAATTCAAGGGCTAAGTCTGTAATCAGTGCCCTGTTGTTCAAAGTTTAGCCTTTAAACCAGTGAGTGCTGGGTATATACTGGTTTGCAGTGCTCTTCAAACGATGCCCGCTGTACTGAACCATCCACCAAATGTACTCACACAGGTTTAATCACTGCTGAGCTTCTTATCACACAACAAGCTGATGCTCGCGTTTGATCAAGATCAAAGTTAAACAACTTAAAGAGCTTAGAAGATGTTAGTCTGCTGCTGTTGTCAAGGTGATATCCACTGTACAGTGCAGCGGTGCTGCTGCTGTTGTGTTTATGTGTACGTTAATTGTTTCCCCTGGCGCTAAGCCTGGACTTTGTGTCTGTGTGCGAGTGTGTATGTGTGTCAGAGAGCCCTCCACGGACACTGGCCAGCTGAAATGAATGCTGGCTGGCGGCTCATTAAAAATGCATTCTGGGGAATCAATGGACCTCCATGCCCCAAGGCTGACGGACTAATCTCACACTGTTAATTATTTAACACAAGTGCCCTGATGGTTGGGAACAGTGTGTGTGTGTGCTTGTGTTGATGGGCGTTTTGCAGAAGAGTTTTAGATGTGGTGTGTGTGGCAGACAAAGAGGGAAAGAGACTGTATGCATGTGTATGGCAACGACGTAGAGTGTGTGGTCGGGCGCATGTGTGTGTGTAAGACGACACCCTCTTCTTTGTCATCTCAACGGTGCTCACAGATCTATGAAGTTTTAATGAGGTTAGGAGTTGTCAATGTAAAGCAGTTTCACAGTGGTTCTGTAGAACTGGAGCCGAGAGCTCTCTCTCTCTCTCTCTCTCTCTCTCACACACACACACACACACACACACACACACACATCTGAGGATACTGATAAACGTGCTGACAGTCTGCTCTTTTCATCCATATTCAAAACATGTCATGATATACCAGCATAGCAACTCACATAAGTTACTCCAGATCTGAAACACTCTTTTCATGCAGCTCCAACAAAAGACACAAGTATAAGGTTTCACTTTTTACTTTTATGTAATATTCATTTATATTCCACTCGTATAAAAAAGGACAGGCGAGTGCAGAATGTGGTTTTCTGAGTGCAACACTGTGAAAAGACGTATTGTTTAGAAGAAAGTGGACAACCTTTACTCAGTCGTTCCAATGTGGAGCCTTTAATTGTGTACTGAGTGTACATTTTCTGCTGTGTTCCCATACCAGGATTCCAGCTTTCATTTCATACACATGCACACACATACACAGACACACATGCACACACACCCCGCCCTCCGATCCTGCCGGACCTCCCAGTAGAACAACTGTCAGGCCAAGGCAGAGATCTTGTGTACGTTACAACTTCTTCTCTTAATTACTGTCACAGCTAAACTACGCATGCACGCGCACACACGCACGCACACACACACACACACACACACACACACACACACACACACACACGCATGGTGATAGTATTTCTCCTGCAGTAGGTTTTTATTGCTTCCAAAATGTTCTTTAGAGCCTGAAACAGTTTAGTAAATATTATTTACTTCATGGAAGACATACTACTTCATAAAACACACAAAGAAAGAGATTAATATCTAATAGCTATATACTACAACGTTGAACATAAATGTGAATAACAGAGTGATCAAGTTTGCTAACCTCAGTCAGTAGGTGCACAGTAGGCCTGTAATGATAATTACGTTATTAACTAATATATGGACATGACCTCGATCATTTTGCTGACCTCGATATTGCTATTTGTGTTTACATGTGTGCTTGTTTACATAATTATGTCACCAACATTTTAGCCAACATGATGCCATAATAAGAAGCACGGTGTTCCTTTTCTTTTTTTTTTTCCTCTCCACCCTCGCCAAGACAAATAAAACAATACTTAAAAGACGACACAGCGTAGCTTACCAGTAGCCTGCAGCCGCACTTTCAAAGTGGAAGAGTCACAGTCCTGTCAGTCATTAGCTTGCCAACCCCTGGCAATGAGTCAA